TTATGGCATGAATAAACAACACAGAATAATGCACCTAGTAGTGGAGGTCATAATGGCATTGATAAACAACACAGTAGAATGCACTTAGTAGTGGAGGTCATTCTGGCATGAATAAACAACACAGTAGAATGCACCTAGTAGTGGAGGTCATAATGGCATGGATAAACAACAAAGTAGAATGCACCTAGTAGTGGAGGTCAAAATGGTATTGATATAGAAGTGTTTGCGAATGCGAGAAGGATGGCCATTGTCTGGACGCACACCAACCAAGTACGTGCTAAACCACGCAGTTTACTGATTCGAACGAGTGGTGCATCATGAAGTCAGGATGAGGTAGGCTCGTTGAGGATCGTAAGCCCAGCTGAAACACACCTAATCCCGATCGAAATGTACATCATCGCATTCTATGGATCTATATAGGCATAGAAACCTGTGCAAACAAATGCATCTGTACGTTGTAGACACTTACAGCGCGGCGTAGAGCGGCTTCTGTCATGCCACCCATGTAGTATGCTGACGATATGTCTTGCTCGCGTTCGTTGAGGATGGCCCTGAGTACCTCGAGGTGAGCGCGTCTATCGCTGTAGGAATGTGTGTAAGTGTCTTGGGTTGAATATTGATCTCTTAGGTTGAATATTTATCTGAACCACTCGCTTGTACCGATGTGCACGTGCGTTCGTATCCGACAAAGGGGGTCTGCACAGGTGCTAGATTAGGTCAGCCTCATCGAAGAGGGGGCAAATGGTCGGTCAAAGCTTTGACAGCAAATTGGAATATAGACAATATCTACACTAATGGGGAAGTGTTTGTGGAACCTACTGGTTGTAGATACAAGAAAGCAAATGATGGACATGGAAGACCTAAACAAAGCACACCGACAGGAGTGAGAGACTTGGAGACTCGTATCACTGAACACATATGGTGCCTGGGTGTGGGAAAAACATTGCCCTATGCGAGTGACAACAAATGTACCTTATATACTTTGCATTAATTCTCGATGGCTGGTTTTTACTCTATCCATCGGTACTGCACATCCGCCACTCCATGCGCATTCAATGGTAAAACAAAAGTGCACGGACTCCTTACCACCAGTACACGTTGATGAACGACTAAAAGGCCAGCAGTCAGCAGAAGAATGATTCCAATGAAGGAGAGATAAGCAGCGAGATGGGTGACGCACACACGATCACATGAACTGTCAACAACTGTGCATTCCTCGCGTGCTGTTGGGTTTATTTCAACCAGTCCGCGCACATGCAATATCGCACACTGACTGACTTGTACTCTCCACATAGATACGTACCTCAACACCAGCACTTTCCGTCCCACAGCAACGCAGGCCACCACCTTATCAATAACGATCTCGTTGCGAACCGCATTCTCAGATAAGCGTGTCAACAGCTCAGCCTTGAACAGGTTACTTGACCCAGCGGCAACCGCGCGTGCAGATATGGGCAGTTTCAGGCGCAACACGCTCACCTCTAGACTCTTTGATACACACAGAATCATCAAGAACAATTGTTGGCCGTTGATGAGTATACAGATGTGCACATGACTCATAGTAGTACATATATGATCATAGAAAAGCATGATAGATGCTTTGTTTGACCTTTGATGTGTATATGTTTGTATTACCTGTCGGCAAGCTAAATATGTTGTTCTTATGGCAAACACGCTGCTCAGCCAGGTATATAGTCCAAGGTATTTTGCCACACAGCATGCAGCGACTGACAGCATCACGCCGATGCCG